TAATTAACCTCTATATAACTAACCTCTATATAATTAACCTTTATATAACTAACCTCTACATAACTAACCTCTATATAATTAACCTTTATATAACTAACCTCTATATAACTAACCTGTACCTAATTAACCTCTATATAACTAACCTCTATATACCTAACCTCTATATAATTAACCTCTACATAACTAACCTCTATATAACTAACCTCTACATAACTAACCTCTATATAATTAACCTCTATATAACTAACCTCTATATAATTAACCTCTATATAACTAACCTCTACATAACTAACCTCTATATAATTAACCTTTATATAACTAACCTCTATATAACTAACCTGTACCTAATTAACCTCTATATAATTAACCTCTATATAACTAACCTCTATATAATTAACCTCTACATAACTAACCTCTACATAACTAACCTCTATATAACTAACCTCTATATAACTAACCTGTACCTAATTAACCTCTATATAACTAACCTCTACATAACTAACCTCTACATAACTAACCTTTATATAATTAACCTCTACATAACTAACCTCTATATAATTAACCTCCACATAACTAACCTCTACATAACTAACCTCTATATAATTAACCTCTACATAACTAACCTCTATATAACTAACCTCTATATAATTAACCTCTATATAACTAACCTCTATATAATTAACCTCTATATAACTAACCTCTACATAACTAACCTCTATATAATTAACCTTTATATAACTAACCTCTATATAACTAACCTGTACCTAATTAACCTCTATATAACTAACCTCTATATAACTAACCTCTATATAATTAACCTCTACATAACTAACCTCTATATAACTAACCTCTACATAACTAACCTCTATATAATTAACCTCTATATAACTAACCTCTATATAATTAACCTCTATATAACTAACCTCTACATAACTAACCTCTATATAATTAACCTTTATATAACTAACCTCTATATAACTAACCTGTACCTAATTAACCTCTATATAACTAACCTCTATATAATTAACCTCTACATAACTAACCTCTACATAACTAACCTCTATATAACTAACCTCTATATAACTAACCTGTACCTAATTAACCTCTACATAACTAACCTCTATATAACTAACCTGTACCTAATTAACCTCTATACAACTAACCTCTATATAACTAACCTGTACCTAATTAACCTCTATATAACTAACCTCTATATAACTAACCTCTATATAACTAACCTCTATATAACTAACCTCTATCTAATTAACCTCTACATAACTAACCTCTATATAACTAACCTTTATATAATTAACCTCTATATAACTAACCTCTATATAACTAACCTCTACATAACTAACCTCTATATAATTAACCTTTATATAACTAACCTCTATATAACTAACAATTACCTAAACTCTTATAACCTATAATAACTACAAACTACCTCTTATAACTAACCTCTACATAACTAACCTCTATATAATTAACCTCTATATAACTAACCTCTATATAATTAACCTCTATATAACTAACCTCTACATAACTAACCTCTATATAATTAACCTTTATATAACTAACCTCTATATAACTAACCTGTACCTAATTAACCTCTATATAACTAACCTCTATATAACTAACCTCTATATAATTAACCTCTACATAACTAACCTCTACATAACTAACCTCTATATAACTAACCTCTATATAACTAACCTGTACCTAATTAACCTCTACATAACTAACCTTTATATAACTAACCTCTATATAACTAACCTGTACCTAATTAACCTCTACATAACTAACCTCTATATAACTAACCTCTATATAACTAACCTCTATATAACTAACCTGTACCTAACTAACCTCTATATAATTAACCTCTACATAACTAACCTCTACATAACTAACCTTTATATAATTAACCTCTACATAACTAACCTCTATATAATTAACCTCTACATAACTAACCTCTATATAACTAACCTCTATATAATTAACCTCTATATAACTAACCTCTATATAATTAACCTCTATATAACTAACCTCTACATAACTAACCTCTATATAATTAACCTTTATATAACTAACCTCTATATAACTAACCTGTACCTAATTAACCTCTATATAACTAACCTCTATATAACTAACCTCTATATAATTAACCTCTACATAACTAACCTCTATATAACTAACCTCTATATAACTAACCTGTACCTAATTAACCTCTACATAACTAACCTCTATATAACTAACCTCTATATAACTAACCTGTACCTAATTAACCTCTACATAACTAACCTCTATATAACTAACCTCTATATAACTAACCTGTACCTAATTAACCTCTATTAATTAACCTCTACAAACTAACCTCTACAATAACCTTATATAATTAACCTCTACATAACTAACCTCTATATAATTAACCTCTACATAACTAACCTCTATATAACTAACCTCTATATAATTAACCTCTATATAACTAATTACAACTCTACATAATTAACCTTATATAAACTAACCTCTATATAACTAACCTTACTAATTAACCAACTCTATAACTAACCTCTCTACATAATTAACCTCTACATAACTAACCTCTATATAACTAACCTCTATATAACAACCTCTATATAACTAACCTCTATATAACTAACCTCTATATAATTAACCTTTATATAACTAACCTCTATATAACTAACCTGTACCTAATTAACCTCTATATACAACCTCATAACTACATAATTAACCCTACAACAACCTCTATATAACTAACCTCTATATAACTAACTCTATATGAACTAACCTCTACATAACTAAACTCTATAATTAACCTCTACATAACTAACCTCTACATAACTAACCTATATAACTAACCTCTATATAACTAACCTTGCCAAATTTCATCAACTCTAACTAACCTCTATATAACTAACCTCTATATAACTAACCTTACATAATTAACCCTATATAATAAATCTCAACCTCTTTATAACTAACCTCTATATAACTAACCTGTACCTAATTAACCTCTATATAACTAACCTCTATATAACTAACCTCTATATAACTAACCTGTACCTAATTAACCTCTACATAACTAACCTCTATATAACTAACCTTTATATAATTAACCTCTATATAACTAACCTCTATATAACTAAACTCTACATAATTAACCTCTATATAATTAACCTCTATATAACATTAATCTCTTTAACCTCTACATATCAAATCGCTATATATATAACCTCTACAGAAGGGGCAGTGGTAGCTCAGTGGTTAAGATTTTGGATTACTGCTCAGAAGGTCATGAGTTCAAACCCCAACTGTTGGGCCCTTGAGCAAGGCCCTTAACCCTCAACTGCTCAGATGTATACATGAAATAAATGTAAGTCACTCTGGATAATAAGTCTGACAGATGCTCTAAACGTAAATGTACCTCACTAACATCTATCTACCTTCTACATAACTAACTTCTAACTAACCTCTACATGCATCACATTTAAAACGTTACAGAATTTTAGGTTTCGGTTTACAATCTTACGGCCCCTTAAGGGTTCTATCGGTTGTTTAGAGGTTTCGGTTTGTAAATATTCTCCTCGGGAACATCGGTCAAGGGGAAACTCTCGGTTGTGTGGAGGAAATAATATATATATTTTTTTCCATCAAAAGCTGTCAAAATGTAGAAAGCTCAGACAAGCAAAGGTGAGAGATTGTGAAGTAACAGTAGCACTAGACTAATTACTGTAGAGACGAAGATTCGGATTTTATTAGCATAAGACACCTTCAAAGTGACTGCCAGTCTAAAACGAGTTGCCGGTGCTTTAATTAATATTCATGCGAGACGGCGCACGCTAGCTTTCCGTGCTGTCGTTTGTACCTGTTTGTGTTTTTGCTGGCGATTAGTGGAACGTGTAATTAGCTTGCTTTGTTATTCCTCTCCTCCTGTCATTTAGAGCTCTCTATTCACTTGTGTGCGTTGGAGCAAAGCTGCAGTACCAGACACAGCGTACACGGGCGTGTCTGGATCTGAGAACGTACCGGTTCTCCTGGTGAGAAAAGTGAAATAGTGGAAAAACTGAACTATTATACAAGCATTCTAGCAGACCTGGAGGTCAGGGCAGGTCACTTTCCTCCCAAAATGTAAAAAAACAAGCAGCATGGGTGACATTTCAGTGTCACGTTCCATAAACAAGACTGCTGACTTTACACACCTCACAGCAGGCGCTACGCTTTTTACAGCTCGGTTTTAGCCGGCTAACATCAAACCTATGTTTCCGCTCTGCCCTCTCTGTCCTGCTGTCCTTTCCTGTTTTGACAGGAAGTAGCACCTCCTTTAAAAGACAAAAAAAAAAACCCAGCCCTAATGTAATGAGGTTTTTACATCTGTGTCCCGTCCATATCGCTTATACGGATGAGTGCGAAAGTTTGTGCACCATCAATGGGTTTTAATGGCAAGAAAAATACCATTTCTCTACTACTACTACTACTACTAATAATAATAATAAGAAGAAGAAGAGAAGAAGATGAAACATAAGAATAATCATAATACAAATAATATATCTGGCAGTATTTCAAAACGTGAAGCAAAAATAATCAGAAAATGAATTCAGACAATGATAAACATCCAAAATCTGCTTAGAGGATATTAAAGAGTTTAAAATTCATTTATAAAGTCAAAGATGGACGTGCAGGTTGTTAGAAAAGCGGGTGAAAACGTTTGTGATGGTATGGAATCACTCCTATGGACGAAAAGGAAATGCACCACTATTTATGATGTTAATAATAATAATTAACATTATTCACGGGTTAAATTGAACAAACTGGTTTCCGCACTTTATATTTCATTACGTTTATGGCATTTGGCGTACGCCCTTATCCAGAGCGACTTATCTCATTTATACTTGGGCCTTGCTCAAGGGCCCAACAGTGGCAGCGTGGCACTCACAACCTTCCAATCAGTAGTCCGACATCTTAAGCACTGCCACAAAACAGGA